TTCCTGAAAGTTCCAGCCTCCCAGCTTCCCTGGTTCCGGAGTTATCCATTTTCCTGCCAAAAATTTCACGGGGCCGTACGTGATAACCACGCATAGCGGGGGCTGAATTTGATAAGTTTGAGTTGTAGATGAACTGGGAACATTCGCTGAAAGTTTCAGTTCCTCAGCTTTCTTGGTTCCCGAGCTAGCGATTTTCGCGGCAGGAACCCTCACGGGGCCGTACGCGGGGAACGCGCACACCTGGGGGCTGAATTTAAAGTCTTTGAGTTGTGTATGGGCGGAGGAAATAATCCCAAAATCTCAGCTTTCTAACTTTTCTGGTTCCCAATTTAGCGATTTTCCCGCCAAAACTTTGAGGCACTCGTACACGAGGCCTAGACGTACTTGAGGATGGTGCCGCGGTCCTGGAGTTGCACTTGGCCGGGGAACCCACTCGCAAAATCTTGGCGCCGGAGCTTGTTTGGGTGCCGAGTTGAAATACCCGGACAGACGCGCACACATGCACGCACGCACACACACACACACACGCACACACACACACACACACACACACACGCACGCACTCACACACATACAGGGGTCGTCGCAATATGCGTTTTCGTATTTGCATATTTGCAAAAACGCACAAAAATGATCGCTCCCTCTTCCCGCAATTGCCATTATTCATCTAAAAAATCTTGTTTGGTCATTTTAGGGTGGAGGAGGAGAGGGGAAGAGAGTCGCTCTGTGTTTGGCAAATAAAGCTTACATTGTGAAGAATGATGAAGATTCGTGGAGATGAGATTATTTGACCACTGCACATGGTGGACCATTATATTTTGTTATCAACGGTTCCCTCATCGTCTGACCCTCTCGAAGTGCCTGTACGCGCCTCTGAACCATACCCGGCTGCTGTTTTACCTGAAGGGAATATCAAGAATATCAGTGTAACCGATTGCTTCCCAGTTCCACTTCTAAATTATCATTGTTGATTGGTACATAAAAAGATAGCAACAATGATTGAATTGTAATTACAATAATAGTCATAATAATAATGATGATAATAGTAAACAAAACCACATTAATAGAATAACGTAGTAGCATCAGTAGTAGAACAGACTAGTAATGGTAATCATAGCAGTAACAGTAGTATTCGTACTTATAAGAATAGTAATAATAATTATTACAATCATTTTCCAGTCTAGAACTATCATACAATTTGGAGTGATACACTATAAAACATGGGAAATTGCGGAAGCAAAACATTTCTGTGTTCTGTTGAAGCAGATATTTGTGCACTGAAACGTTCAAACGTCTAACAGTAGACATGAAAGATGTAGAAAATAAAAATTTGGGAGGTCCAGAAATTGAGATGGACAAACCTGATCCAGACTTAGCACACCGCGTCGTTTTTTCGGCATTTTGGAACGCGCCTGTGTATGTGAGTAAAACATTGCAAAATTACTCACTATCACCTAAATGTTAAACAGCAGGATGAGTGAAAAGCAAATGAAACTGCTTGAAGCTAATATCGGTGAACTCTCTCTCTCTCTCTCAGTTCCATGATTTGCTTCTTTCTGCCGGTATTTCAAAAAGTTTTTCTTGCGAAAGCGCCTTGGAATGTTGCAAAGAAAGAAGTATTCGCAGTACTTACTGGTACTGGCAGCGCAATGGTGAGTACGCCTGTGAGGGCACACACTGAACCGATGATACGTCCAAGATAAGTGTGTGGCGTCATATCTCCGTATCCAATCGTTGTCATCGTTACAATCTGTGAAGACATTCCACAAAGTAGATGGAAGCGAAAGAGCTGTTTTCGAATGGGCTTTCAGTGCATTCAGAATACGCAGTAGATAGGCTTTTCACACTCTTTTTACTCAACTGCCTTGCTGTGCCGGAAACAAGCGATTATGCAGTAAGCTAATCGTCTTGCGGGACAGAATTGCGCATGGTGAATGTGTCGCCAGGATGACCAGGTCTCGCCTTATCAAAATGGCTCTGGTTGTCCAGGTGAATTGGGCATCCGGCTGCAGAGAAAGGACGAGGCCTCGTACTAGGCAAAGTTGTTGACCCACTCCAATATCCTGTCAAGA